CAAAACGACACCCATCACGCCGTGATGTCACACCGTTTAAACCTGAGGAGCTTCACAAATCAGCATTAATCCTCAGACCTGCAGCAGCTGTGAGAGGACCAACACACAGCATCCACTGTGACTCACAGACCAACGTTTTTCATCATGTTCCTCTCATTTCATCATTTATTGATCCACTCGACGCTGCAAACATCTGCACAGATGTGAACCACTCCTCCGCTGGACCATTTAGGAGGCACGGCGAGGAATCTCTCAGCGATTAGAAATCAGTCCTGCGGCTCAGATTCATATCAGCTGGTTCAGACCCAACTGAAAGGTGTGTCATCGCCGTGTGTCCCACAGGGTGAAACCACGAGCTCTCTCCAGATCGTCAAACCATCTCGTTTCAAACAGTGAGTGTGTCGGGCCACAGTTCATCATCGCAGACCATCAGGTGCTCGTCACACACAGAGGAGGACAGAAACACCTGGACCAGCAGGTGCGACTGTCTGAAGTAATGCACTCACGCAGCAGGCTGTGTGCACGCTCACCTCCACGACTCCATCACTGAAGACAGACTTTGCTTTTAGATGAGCCTGTGAGAGACAGACTGATCACATGACACCGACACTGAACAAACGTTTGTGCTGCTTCTGTTTTAAAGATATTAATGAAAATGTAAAGGTCAAAAGGTCAACCAGCCCCCCCTACATTACCCAAATCAAACAAAATTTATGTTAAACATTTGTGCTACGTTTGTGCTGCTAACATTTTAAAGATATTAATAAAATAACATCTTGATGCTGAATCATCCAGCTAAGTAAATCCCAAAGGTTGGTTCTGTTCATCTGGACGTTTTCAGTGGGAGAAATGTTTCGTCATCATCCAGGTGACGTCTTCAGTCTCAGCTGACTGCAGGTTTCAACCTTATAAACACATGAGAGTGAAGTTGGCCCCCCTACCTTCTTCAAATCAAACAAAATTGATATCAAACATTTGTCCTGCAAATTATTTTGTTTGTGCAGGTTATGTTTCCCTAATTTTATAAACAGTACATGTACAGTGAGAGAGAGATGTTACATCCCAGTCACGGAAGCGTTGGAGGTCGTTCATAAGAGATGACAGGATCACCCCAACCTCAGCAACAGGACCGCGCTCAGCACTGATCAACTGTGTTTGCTTTTGGAACTGTGTCCTTATTCCACCTATTTTGCATAAGGGTCAGTACAGGTGGAAACCTAGGTGTGCCATGGGTTCCCACAGGCCCCTGCTCAAAGTCACCAAACCAGTTCGTAAGCAGGTACAGGTGTGGCCACAAGGGTCCTCAGACGCACTGCAAGACTGCTTTCCCACCACAGGCTGCCACACACGACAACACCACAGACTTTCAGGAATATACAGAAACGGTCACTGCCTACATCCCAAAATGCATCGATGATGTCACAGAGACCAGGACTATCACTGTCCGGGCCAATCAGAAACCATGGCTCACAGGTCAGGTTCAAATGCTCCTAAGGTTGAAAAATGCAGCCTTCAGAGCCGGGGATGAGGTGAGCCTAAGAACAGCAAACCTGTCACGTGGCATCAGCGACAGCAGAGATACAGGAATACAAACCATCACAGACTACAAGCCCACTCTGCAGACCGTGGTGACACAATCCCCAGACTGTGTGTGGAGATCCCTTGCCAAAATCAGTACACTCAAAGCTCCAGGTCCTGATAACATCCCTGGACGAGCACTGACGGACTATGCTGAACTCACAAATGTCTTCACAGACATCTTTAACACATCACTAGGGTCAGGCCGTCGTTCCCACATCGAAGCCTCCACCATCATTACTGTACTGAAGAAGTCATCTACCTCCTGCTTTAAGGACCACCGTCCTGTCAGACCCACCTCCATCATTATGAAGA